AGATTCTGCAGGGCAACTGTCTGGGTTGAATCCTCGCTTGGTCATTCCTTGGCCATATGATCTCAGTCACATTTACTCAGTCTGTTCTTCAGTTTCTTCATCTGTAAAATGGAGTGTGCTAATAATAGTGTCTCACAGGATCTGTACCTGGCAGAGTAACCACTAAATAAATATTAGCAGGTATTTTCTTCATGGCACACTTCTTAGGGTTCAATTATTTGATTCTGAAACATAAACTTTGGGGGAACGGGGATTGTGCTTCTTTTATTTATTGCCATGTACCTTGCACAGTGGCTGGTCCATAGCGAGTACTTGATGATGCTGTTGAAGGAATGCATGAAAACAGATGCACTCTCACTCCTCTTGGAGCTTACGATCTAGACATCATGGAGTCTTTGTTCTACTCACCCTTTGACACCTGGCCACTTTAGAGATGTGGAAATTGAGACCCATAAAAATGGAGTGATTTGAGCAGCAAAATTTCAAGGAGAGAGAGGTATTGCTCTTCCCACAGGGAAGTAACCTTTCTACTTGTCAGAAATGTGATGGGTGGGATGCCTGGGTGGCTCAGTGGTTGAACATCTGCCTTTAGCTCAGGTCGTGATCCCGGGGTCCTGGAATCAAGTCTCACATCAGGCTCCTCATGGGGAGCCTGCTTTTCCCTCTGCCTGTGTCTCTGCCTCTCTGTGTGTCTTCTCATGAATAAATAAAGTCTCTTAAAAAAAAAAAAAGAAACGTGATGGAGCACCAAATGCATGTGGACCTGCTGCATCCACTGTGAACACAAGTCATAGCCTTTTATTCTAGAAACACAAACTGGGGCAAAATTCTCATCATGAGAGAAATAAAAAACAAGGATATCCGTGAGCTCTCCAGATGGAGCGGCTTGGTGGGTTGTGGTGCAGTTGGCTTAAGCAGAACTGACCCTGCAAGTTGTGACTTCCTGGGAAAGATGTCCAGTCCTCTCTCTAAATAATTGCCACCCTCCAAACATTTTATTCATGTTACATCTAGGAATTCAAAGGCCTCATTTTATGATTATGGGAACAGAGACTAGGAATGATGGGACTTAAACCCAAGATTCCTGTAAGCTCTAATTAATATGAAAGCTCTTAACATGAGGATGGAGAGAAAGAGGTGAGGAGGAGGGAGGAGGTGGAGGAGGAGGTGTAGATTCACGTGCTCACTGGCAGGCAGCAGCACTAACAGGTATGGGGCATCCGGAAACCTTGTGGGGAGGGCAGGGGAGTTTGAGGAAAGAGGAGATGGAGGCTGGGGCCCAGCTGGGTTATTTTCAGAGCTGCTATCTTTGTCTGCATCTGCTAAATTATTAAACTGATATCACATCCAGGCCAGGTTGCCAGGAAAAGACTGAAAAGGAGGGGTTACATTTCTTGGCAAGGCCTGGAATCTTTTAGGCTGGGAGGGAAGCAGACTCCTCTGGCTTTGACCTCCTGCCCCACCCCATTCTCAGCTGATGGAGGGGGATCCTGCTTTGGGCCATAGCCTCTGTCAGGCTCTGTCTTTCTCCACTGGCTTCTGTCCTGGGAGAAGCATGCATATAATGGATAGGACTCTGTATTCCCCGGGCTGCCTCTTCTCTTTCTGGTCTCTGACTCAGACCACAGAACAGATACAACCAGCTCATGGGACCTTGGACAAACCCTTGCATCTGTGTCCTTGTCTGTGCTGTGGGTATTGGCAATTCCATTCCCTAGACACTGAAGTTCACAGAGAAAAAGTGCTCTTGTTAGGGTTGCACAGCTAGGAATGGACTGAGCTTTGATTCAGACTGCAGTCTCTCTAATTTCAGATGCCTTTCCCCTCCCTCCCTATTGCTTCAAAATATTTTAATGCGTTCTTTGTTTCTCATCTTGTCTACAAAAGGAATGTATAACTTTTATAAAGATCGGAAATTCCAATAATCATTACAATTTATAAATATGTTCCAGGTGCCTGGGTGGCTCAGTAAGTTGAGCATCTGCCTTCAGCTCAGGTAACGATCCTAGGGTCCTGGGATCAAGCCCCGAATCGCATCATCATCATCATCATCGGGCTCCTGCTTTCCTGCCTCCCTCTGTGTTCTCTCTTGCTTTCACTCTCTCAAAAAAAAAAATCCCCTAATTCCAAATGTTGTGTTTGCCAGACTGGCTGTGTCCTTAGAGGTGGTTAGCAGTGGCCCCTGTCCACTCCCAGGAATGGGAGTGCAGGCCAATTAAGGAAGCCGGGGGGTGGGGGGGCTGGGACGGAAGCTAGTAGATGCCAAACGTCTCTCACATCTGGTCCTGTGCACATAGTGTTCCCATCCTGAGTAGTCTTCCCTTCCTGTCCTCCCCACCCCCATCTGTGCATCACTCAATTTGATTCATCCTTCAGGTCTCAGTTTAAATATCATCTCCTGCAGGGAACTCTCCTGAACCCTTTCCTACCCAGCTGGGCTCCGTGTCTGTTCTAGGTCCTCATAGCTTCAGTGTTCCCTCCATCCCAGTAGATATCGCACTGAAATGCCATCACCTGGCTATGTCCCCCCCCACTAGACCCTAAGGGCAGAGCTCCAGCTGATCATTGCGGTACCTGCACCAGCCAGCCCAACAAGGAGATAATGATCAAATTTTTAAAAAGATTTATTTATTTACGAGAGAGAGTGAGAGAGAGCTCAAAGTGGGGTGGGGGGTGGGTAGAGGGAGAAACAGACTTCCTGCTAAGCGAGGAGCCTGAAGCGAGGAGCCTGAAGAGTCCTGGGATCATGACGTGAGCTGAAAGGCAGCCACTTAATCCACTGAACCACCCAGATGCCCCTCAAATTTATTGAATGGGAGAAAGAAGGAAGGAAGCAAGGAAGCAAGGAAGGAGAAAGGGGCTCCTATATTCTAAACAAGCTCTACCATGATTTTTCAATTCAATTCCTAGATGTAGCATGAACAAAATGTTTGGAGGGTGGCAATTATTTAGAGAGAGGACTGGACATCTTTCCCAGGAAGTCACAACTTGCAGGGTCAGTTCTGCTTAAGCCAACTGCACCACAACCCACCAAGCCGCTCCATCTGGAGAGCTCACAGATATCCTTGTTTTTTATTTCTCTCATGATGAGAATTTTGCCCCAGTTTGTATTTCTAGAATAAAAGGCTATGACTTGTGTTCACAGTGGATGCAGCAGGTCCACATTCCTCCTTGCTGAGCCTCCATCAACCCCATGGAGCTCCTCTGACTCCCTGAGCCCCCATCCCCCTCACTCATGCTCCCTTCTCACTCTGTGAGCCTCTTCTGGCACCGGTGCACCCACTAGTCCTCTCCCCCCATTGAGCCCATCATGTTCACTGGACCCTTTTTCTTGCCCTCACTGAGCCCTTCCCTCCACCTCCACTGAGCCGGGTCACTGAACACCCTCCTCACTCCTTCCAACTCCTCCTTCCTCTTCCTCATGAGCCTGGTACACCGTCATGGACCACTCCCCTCTCTGACCCCCTTTGAGCCAAACTTTCTCACCCATGAGTCTCCATCATTCAGTCTAAGGTACCTGAGAGCACTTAGAGAACATGGTGGGGGGCAGGCCTCCCTAGTCCTCCTCCCCATGAAGCCCTCCTCCTCACCAAGTGAGTGCAGCTCCCCCATCAGCCTCCTCTTCAGGCTGAGGCAGTTGGCACACTGGCTACACATTTTTGGCAAGTCCTCCTGAGATGGATTTGCTGGGTTTCTTCCCAGTCAGTTTTAGAACTGGTCTCTGGCCTCCAGTCCCTGCCCCCGCCCACAACAGATATCTCTCATCTCTCATGGCACCTTCAAATGTATGGAAACTGAGGCAGGGCCATGATGTCTGAGTGTTTGGAGGCAATAAAGCAGGGTCACTTCTTCTCCAAGGAAAAATGGGCAGGGCTCAGTCTTTTTCTTTTTTTTTAACATTTTTAAAAAAGATTTCATTTATTTATTCATAGAGACAGAGAGAGAGAGGCAGAGACAGGCAGAGGGAGAAGCAGGCTCCATGCAGGGAGCCCAATGTGGGACACAATCCAGGGTCTCCAGGATCACGCCCTGGGCTGCAGGCGGCGCTAAACCGCTGCGCCACCAGGGCTGCCCAGCAGGGTTCAGTCTTACCATTTTGCCAAGATGACTAAAGTCCCATTTAAGGAGGGTCCCTCAATGACGAGAGACCCAGGTATCTGAGCTCCCAGAGGGCATGAATGGCCCACCTGGTCTCATTCAGTGGTCCAGATTCAGCCACTGACCTGCAACGGAACCTTGGGCAAGGTACCACTGCACCTTCTGGGGCTGTTTCCCCCTCTGTTTCTAGATGTTGGGATATCTATATTTTGGGAGGAGCAAATAGGAGCAAGGACACAAAGAATTTTGCACACCATGGGGCCTGGGGCTCCTTTGTGAAAGCCATGCCAGGCTCAGCGGGTGCGCTGTAGGTTGTTCTGCAAGTCAAGGACTTCCTTGGCGGGGAACCAACAGGGCCATATCCCCACAGGGACGCCAGCCACCCCTCTACATTAACCTCGCCACTGACCAGGGAGATTAGAGAAGGGGTCCTGGCGAGACTGGTGGTCCAGACCCGGCAGAACGCATTAGGCTGTGCGGTACGGGAAGGAGCACTGCGCAAGGAGTCAAGTCTCCTGAGTTCTAGTCCAAGACTCTCACCGCACACGGTGTGGCCTCAAGAATCCCCGCCCTCCGCCCCACCCTACGCCGCGAGCGGACTGGAGTCCATGATTTCTAAGCACCAGTTACCAGAGCTTATGCCTCAGGGACCCGAGCAGAAAAGATGCGGTCCTCTTTCACCCCAAATTTTGGGGGAGGTGGATGGGGATCGGATGCCCCAGCAGGGCAGAGCCGGAAGAAGGACCAGGGGCCCGAAGGGTTTGGGCAGGGTCCTGAGCAGGCGGGGCCGGGGAGGCGGGTTCGGGAATGCCAGTCTCTGATTGGCTGTGCCGCCCATCGCCCCGCCCCGTGCGCTATAAAACTCGCCCGCGGCCGGCGCGGGGGCTGCCGCGGCATCTCTCTCTCGCGCGCGCGGAGTCGGTCTTCCCCCTCGCGGGGGGCAGCTGGCCAGACCCGCGGACCCACCGCTGCAGGCCGCCGGGGGGCGGGGGATGCCGGGCTGCCGCATCAGCGCCTGCGGCCCGGGGGCCCAGGAAGGGACCGCGGAACCCGGGTCCCCGCCGCCGCCGCCCCGGGAGCTCCTGTCGTCCCCTCAGCCCCCGCCCCCAACTCCGACCTTGACTCCGACCCCGGCTCAGGTCTCGTCGCCGGCCGACGCGGCCCCGGCGGACGGGCAGGAGCTGCAGCGCTGGCGCCAGGGCGCTAACGGGGGCGCCGGGGGCACCGGGCCGGCAGGGGGCGCGGCGGCGGCGGCGGCGGCGGCGGGGGCGGGGGCCCGCGCGCTGGAGCTGGCCGAAGCGCGGCGGCGACTGCTGGAGGTGGAGGGCCACCGGCGCCTGGTGTCGGAGCTGGAGAGCCGTGTGCTGCAGCTGCACCGCGTCTTCCTGGCGGCCGAGCTGCGCCTAGCGCACCGCGCCGAGAGCCTGGGCCGCCTCAGCGGCGGCGTGGCGCAGGCCGAGCTCTACCTGGCGGCGCACGGCTCGCGCCTCAAGAAGGGCCAGCGCCGCGGCCGCCGCGGCCGCCCGCCCGCGCTGCTCGCCTCGGCCCTGGGCCTGGGTGGCTGCGTGCCCTGGGGCGCCGGGCGCCTGCGGCGGGGCCACGGCCCGGAGCCCGACTCGCCCTTCCGCCGCAGCCCGCCCCGCGGCCCCGCCTCCCCCCAGCGCTGACCTCGGCGCCGGGACCCCAGGCCCCCCGACAGGCCGTCGCGGAGGTGCCGACGACGGACCGGCACGTCGGCTGGATGGACGGCGTCGCCGGCGAGGATGGACGAACTGACAGACCCCAGGAAGAGACAGTCGGGGGCCGGGGGCGCAGTGAAGGAGGCTGAGGTGCGGTCTCAGCGGCTGGCGCGTCTGAGGGGGCGGGCGGGGCGGCGAGTCCCCCTTCCCTGGGGCTTCTGGAGGCCTCCGGGTCCCTACTGAGCCGGCCACTCTGTTTCTGCCTCTCCCAGCCCTCCCGGGGAGTGAGGTGGTTGCAGAACGTCCCCGTTGTAGAGCTGGATAAACTGAAGATGCTCAGGTTCCGGGAGGGGCTTGCCGGCAAACTTTTTCCCAGTTGGAGCCTGCGGCACTGACGCAGGCCTCCCCCGCCCCCCCCCGCCCCCAGCCCCCCGCCCGCGTTGCCTTTCCTGGGTCCCTTGTGGCTGTCAGGAGAGTCTTGCCCTTGAGACTGCTGCTTTCTGGAACTGCCCAGCTCCACACCTTGGGGAGGACAGAATAATGAGGTCCCGGGATGGGGTAGGGGTTGGGCCAGCGACGTACCCCCGAGTTCTCTCCCTAAGCCCCTGTTTCCCATTTGAGGGGATGGAATCCCAGAGAAGTTGAGGATTTGTTTCCATCATACTTAGGCCCTTCCACTTCTAGGAGGCAGATGTTTTCTCACGCTCTCAAGCAGTTTTGCCAAGCGTACCTCCTGACGTAGATAACCAGGGTAGGGTGTTTGGTAACTGCCTAACGCTGCACCTGCTCTCCTAGGGGCCCCGCTCCTAACCTGTCTCTAAGATGGCTCTGCCAGGAATGGAGCCAGGTTACATCCTTTAACAGGCCCCAAGGGGGCAGGTATGTCATCTGCTTCTAGAAAGGGGGGCCTTAAAGGGCCAGACCTGAAATGAGATTGACTTCTCTTCCTGTCCACATGCCGTTCAGGAACCACCGGCCCCTACTCGACCCCCTCCCCATCCTCCAAGCGGTAAATGGCCAGGCTGCTGCTTTGCTGCTCATCAGCTGATTGGACTTCAACCTCCCTTTTCCATCTGTGAAGTGCTTATCCTCACCTCTGGGAAGGGCTGTAGTGAGGTTAACACAGGGCAGAGGTCCTTCTTCTCCCCCCCCCCTTAAGTGATGGAGGAATGCTTTATTTTTTAAAAATCACACCTAGAAACAGGCAGTGCTGTTGCTGGTGGAGCTAGGAGCTACTTTTTAAAGTACTCATTTTATGGAGTGGCAAGGTCACATGTCACGACTGGACAGAACTAGGTTCTAGGCCTGTGTGTGTCCTTCCCATAGTGTCTCCTCCCTGCCCAGGGGCAGGGGCTCCAAAGAGCTGGTGTGCAGCCCGTCTGCTGTGTGGCCTAGAACAACTCTGCCTCCTCTTTGGGCCAGTTTCCTCAGTCCTTCTCTGTACACAGCTGTCCTTCCTCATGTCAGGGCTTGGGAATAGGGAAGAGAGGGTAGGATGAAAACTTCAGAGTCACAGGAATCTGGTTTAATCCTAGAGTCTTGAGGGTCAGGTGCATTGTTCTGAAAGGCAGAGCCCCGGGGCCCTAACCTAAAGTCTCATCAGCACTTCCTCTCTCTCTCCTCAGGTACCAAACTTTAGGGCTGCTTTCTGACAACCAGGCCTTTCCAAACCCATTCTCATAGGGAAGGGAAGTCCAGGAGGCAGTCTCAGGGAGTCTTAGTGTGGGGTCCAGGAGAGCAGTGAGGGGCCCTGGGATCCTCTGGCCTCCGTGGAAAGGGAGAACCTTCTGAAGCTACTTAGTTCATTTGGGGTCTAGAGGCCCAGAGAGGACAAGGACTTCTTGGAGGTGACAGTGAGGAGCTCAAGCTGCAGCACTGGACTGCAGCCAGCACTGTTCATTTTCTGTGTTGTACAGGAGAGGGGCATTTGGTCCAGAGAAGCTTTTAGCTAATGGTGTAAAGTGCTCTGTGCCATGACGATGTTGCCTTTCTCTGGGATTTATTGGTCATCAGCTTTGTCCCGATTTGGAGGAGGTGGGGAGGGAGGAATTAGAGATGGCTCTTGCTGAGAAAGTGATGCATGTCTGTAGGAGATGGTGATTGGTCCTAGTGTCACAGGCAGCTCTGTCCCCCTCCCCCCCTGCCAGATGTCCCACTGCCTCTCACCAAGGGCCTTGGCCCAGGCATACAGTGCTCAGTGACTTGAACTCACGATTCAGTGCGCTGCCCACTATTCCCCAGCCAGCTAATAAAAGCCACTTCCCCACCCCTGTCTGGCCCACCCAACCCCGTCTGAGAGGCTCCATTTTTTCCTCAGTGTAATCAGTCCAGGGGCTCAAGAAGGAACACTGATTCAGAGGGTCTCTGCTTTTAAGGGTTGGTGTCTCCCAGCTCTCCTCGAGGCAACCATCCCTGGTGGTAACTATCCCAGGGGTCCCTCTGGGACTGGGCAATTTGTGTTGTTGGAAGGCTTCACAAATAACTATAGCCTCTGGTCTGGTGACTGACAGCATCCCCCACCCCCTTCCCAGCTTCCTGAACACTTTAAAAAAAATTTGAGAGAGAGAGAGAGAGAGAGAGAGAGAGCATGAGCAGAGAGGAGGGGCAGAGGGAGCGGGAGAAGCAGGCTCCCCACTGAGCAGGGATCTCGCTGTGGAGCTCGATTTCAGGGCCCTGGGATCATGACCTGAGCCTGAGCTGAAGACAGACGCTCAACTGAGCCACCGGGGTGCCCTTCCTCAACACCTTGTTGATGGCCACAGCCCTGGGAATCTCGAGAATATCGATGGCCAGCAGTGAATCTGGGATTTCAGCAAAGGGAAATAAGAACAGGAGCCCTTCTTCAGCCCAGTGCTTAGGGCTGGGAGAAAGTTGAGGGTTCTAATTTAAACTTGCCCCTCCCCTTGGATAAGCCTTTTCCTCTTTTGGAGGGCCCTAACCAAGCGAAGGCATCTCTGGGCGGCGCCACCAGAGGGCAGTGTGGGGCTGCTTCCCGGGGAGTGGGGGCGTGGCCTGGAGCAAGCTAGGTTCCCCAGGGTCCCCGCCCCCGACCAGCCCCCTCCCGTCACGCAGAGCCTTCCTTCACGCAGGTCTTGGGTTTTAAGGTCTGTCAGAACGAGCGGGTATGGCGGTCATTCAGAGAAGGGGCGTAATGTTGGGCCTGTGGTTGGGCCGGGCCTCGGACCTCAAGAAAAAGTTTCACGAGGAAAGACTTTCCTGGAAAAAGGTCGCCCTGGTTGGCAGTCACCGTCTGAGGGAAAGACTGTAGTCCTTTTCGCTCCTCACAGATTTGTTACACCCATCATTGATCCGAACATCCCATTCTTCAGCCACCTGGGGACCAGGGAGGCTTCCTAGAAACTAGGCTTAAACAACAGGTCATCATGACCAAGGTGCTTCCAAGCTTGTAGTAGGCAGTCTCTAGGAGGCTTCCCTGCCCCCCTATTCCCACCTGCTGGGTCCCTAGAGAAAACCCAATAGCCAGGCTTCTCAGATTAATGAGAGGCTCCCTGCTTTACAGCCCGGGGGAGGAGGCACTTGGGAAAGCTGGGAGATCTCCAGCCTATTTCTTCCTCTACTAGTCCTTGAACTTCCATTAGTCAAACCCTGGCCAAGTTCCTTGGTTCTGAAATATATTAATCACCTCCATGCTAGGCACTGTGCTGAGCACTTCACACCCTTTATCTCTTATAATCCTTCCAGCTACTCTGCAAAGTAGGGGTTATTATCCTCATTTCCATGGATGAGGAAACTAAGGATCAGGGAGGGCAGATGACTTGCTCAAGGATATAGAGCCTGTAAATAAGAGGTCCTTTAAACATTAGTCTATGTGGCTTTTCATTTATCAGGCTAAAAAGGGCTCCATTTGAGGGGGTTTCTGGGTCTTACTCTTTAAGTCTGAGTACCGTGACCCCTGAACCTCAGATCTGGGAAGGATGTGATGAGATGCGGGGAGGGTGGCAGAAAGTGCATCCCCCCACCCCATCACCACCACCAAGGTCTGGGCACACCCCTGGAAGTTGGCTCCCCACCCTGGTTGTCTGGGCTCTGGGGGGGGGGTGAGTCAGGCTGAGTCAGCACACCTTGCTTCAGGCAAGGGCCAGCCAACGATGCTCAGGGCCTGGGCTTGCCTTGGAGGGTTACCTCCTCTCTCTGCACGCCTAGTTAGAATGTTGGGTGCCCAGGAGAGCAAACAGCCTGGGATGGCAGAGGAGGAGGATGACAGGCTCCATGGTGGGGGCAGAAAGCACCCCTAGTTTGGAATAAGACAGATCTGGGGTTCAGTGTTTGCCTGTAATTTCTCAGCTGAAAGACCTCAGGCAAATGACTTCCCAGTTTCATGTGTATGTGTATGTTTTATTGGGGAGCTGGAGAGGAGATAACTCCTGACTATTGAATGGCACATGGTGGAGATTCATAAATGTTTGATAGATCCAATCTACCTAGCCCAGTAGAGGCTGCCAGGACAGAGCCCCCAGGCAGTGTGGGCCTTTGCTTCCCCAGAGCATCGCCATATCAGGAATCCCTGGAACAATCCCCCTTCTCCCCCCACTGTGGGCTCTGGGGAACTCCATAAGGGGAGAGGTGGTGGAGGGGCAGGCTTTTCTTCCCAGGAACATTCCATTCCAGCTGCTCAGACCAGTGGGGATCCCAGCCAAGGACAAGGCCCAAGGGAACCTCTGCTTACCCCAGGAGCCCCCATCCCTTCCAGAGCAGGAGCCAGTGGAGCCCTGTTCCATAATATTGCTCTGTACCTTCTATCCACATTGGTCCCTCTTGACGCAAATGTCGAAGAGTTTGGGTGGGGTTGGGTGGCTGCGGGAAGAAGGTAATTAAAGCTCTTGAAATGATTCTTTCTAGCTCCTCCCAGCTCCTCAGAGCCTTCACTCTATGGATCTGGACTCCTGGATTCTGCTCCTGCTCCTGGGCACCTCCTCCAGGAAGACGTCCCACAACCTTAAACAAATTGATCCCGTATGATCTTGGCACCATCCTCCCATCACGAGGGCCTTGCACTCAACGGCGGCTAGGTGCTCGGTTCTGGGGAAGGTGCCTGTAGTCTAAGCCACATTTGACTTTGGCTGACACTGTGTGATTGGAAATGTTACAACAGGTCCTCTGAGTTGCAATCAGATTATTTAAGAAAGCAGCAAACATTTCCAGTGTGAAAATGAAAAGGCTTTCTTTTAAAATAGAGTTGTCATTCTTAAGTCACAGCACAGCTGGGGTCTCCATTGTGGTCGATGTCATTGCTTCTCACCCTGACAATGCTGGGAGGCCTGTTTGAGGGGAAATATTGGTCTGAGAAATCTGTTTCCCTCCTCCACTGTCCTTGCCTTCGCCTTCTCTGCCTAGGGGTGTGCCTTTGGGCCCCTCAGAAAGATGATCTCAGCTGGCTCCAAGGGGAGGGGCACCTCATTCTCAGGGAGAGGTGGTGGCAACCTAAACATTCAAAACAAAGTTTTAAATAAAAAAAAAAGGAGCATATTTATTCAAATATCCTGAAAATATAGGGAAGGGGCGGGGGGCACATTTACTCACATACAACCCAGAAATTGTATTCCGCAAAATGAATGTATGTTGAATCAGTCCCCTGATTTATACATTCAGGAAGAATAAATTTCAGTGACGTGAGACAAAGGCATGTGGTTTTGAGGTTGACTTTGCCTAGTGTCCCTACTGCCCTTCCTTTGTGTGTGTCTCTCACGACTCTTTTAAGTTGGCAGTTCCTTGAGCAGCTTCGGTTTAGCTGGGTCAGCAGTCTGGCCCTGTGGACTGGTTTGCAGAGTGCTTTCCCCTTGCTCTGGCTCCAGGCTGACCCTCCCTGGGAAGTCTGCCCCAGTTAAGGATGGGAGGAGGAAGCTAGGGGGTGGGGGGTGCATACATGAGACCATGTCACATGGAGAAGGTGGTGCATGTCTGTGATAATGTGACAGCATGAGGATTGGCGGGGGGCGGGGGGGGGTTGTGTGTGACTGTGTTGGTGATGATAGGGACCTGTTTGTAAGTCAGGGCCCCAGCAGCAGATGAGCCACCCTCAAACTGGGAAGAGATTTAAAAAAAAGTATTTCCAAACAGGTGGGCTTAAAAAGAGAACAAGGGATGGGTGCAGCTCCCTGGGGCTAGCAAGAGTGGGGAGCCTTTACAGGGAGAAGGGGGAGGGGGAGGGAGGGCACAGGACCAGAGGGGGTAGCTGTGTGGAGGGCATCCCTGACAAGAGCAGTGGTCTTTGACAGAGATGCAGCCAACTATGGCAGCCTGGTGCAGGGGGGGTGGGGTGGGGAGAGATAGCAGGCGGACAAAACACCCCATTCTCCTCCTTTCAGTCTCCTGCTGGGGCCTCTCATTGCCTGAACTCAACAGGAAGGTTGAGAACAAGAGAGCCATTGATACACAGTCCACAGAGGGCAGCCTCCTCAGGGCTCAAAACATGGAGAAGAGAGTGTGGGACTGGAGGGGTCACACTCACTGCTTGAGGGCATGTCTTCTGTTCCCCAAAGTTCATAGCAGTGCCTCTTTCCCCTTTGAAGCGCTGCCACCCACCATGGCCCATGAGGGGTGGTGGGTGGACTGTTGCTGGGCAAGCACTGCAGGGGATTGGGGCGTGGGCTTTCCTCCTGCAGCCTTCCCCTCTCTGGCTCTGGTTCCCAGTTCTTGATTTCCACCTGTCCTGGCATCTTAGATGGCTGCAGGAACTGTCCATGAGCAAATAATGCCAGCCACTGAGTCATTGTTTTTTTCACACCCAGAAACATGGCACCACCCCCAAACACACCCACAGGCACACCTGCTGCCATCATGGGCCTCTGACATGGTCACTGCAAGCTATGGCTGGTGTCATGTACATCAAGAAATTGTACATCTCAGCACACTGCTACACTGCCCTAGTCCTACATAAAATGGTAAATGCACAGCAGTACAAACTGTCACACACCAAACATGCTCCATCACATGTATGTACAGAAGACACACTGTCTCACTTATCCACATGAAATCAGAGTGTAGGAGCAGGAGAGTTCAGGGGTTCACAGCAACGGCTCTGGAGCCAGCCACACTTTGACCTCTCTCTGACACCAGCTTCCTTGTCTGTAAAGGTGGAAATAACAATCATTCTTCTCTCAAGGATAAAATGAGAGGTAGTGACCGTGAAGCCGTTAGCAGTGCCTGGCCTAGAGGAGAGGCTCCAGAAACAGCAGCTGTTACCAGGAACTCCTGCTCAGGCTCTCCCACATTTCACACCCATGCATGTTGCAGACCAGCAGCGGTGTGCACACACGCCTGAGCAAGGTCGGCCAGACACCCTCAGGCACATGTGTCCTCCCCCAGACACGCCTGCCAGGAGCATGTGCACATTAACAGATTCTCTCTGCCCAGAAGCTCTTTCCCCAGACACCGCATGACTTGCCATCCAGTCTGCCTTTAAGTCTTTGTTTGATTAAATGTCACCCTTTCGATGAGGTCCAACCTGACCTTTAAAAATCAGTACCCCAGCACTTCCAAACCCTTGCCCTACTACATACTTGTAAGCATCATTGACCTTCTCAGACTATATAATTTAGTTTATTTTCTGTAATCTTCATGGGAGTAGGGAATCTTGATCTTTTGTTTGCTGATGTATTCTGCTCCTACCTGGGTCACTGGCACATGGTGGTCTGAATGCAGTGTCTACACACATACTGTGGGTGTCTAGCTTTCTTACTAAAACAACCATATCCAGGTGAACCCTACTGCCCACCCCAACAAGCCAAACCTGTGTTCTTACCCGGTGAACACCCCCCTCATGCCCCCATTGGGAGCTGGGAGAAACTTATTCTCTTCCAGGCCCGGAGCTGGGTGGGCACAAATAGGGTGGGATGGCAGGCTGCTTTCAGTTACCAAGCCAAGAAACTCTTTCCACGCAATGTCCTAGCCCTTTCGAGCACTGCAGGGACTCATTGAGCAGGTGAGGTGGCTGGACTCACCCAAGTCACCTGGGGCCTCCTCTGTGGCCTTGTTTTTTGTTTTGTTTTTTGTTTTTTTTTACCCTGGCTGAAACCATCAAAGCCACCACTTCAGAAACCACTAATGAGGCTGAATATGTTAAGGGCTTTGCAATCCCTGGATCAAAGGGGCTGGGTAAACAGTGGGCAGCGTCCAGGCCAGTGACTGGCTGATGCCCTGAGGGAATAGCTCCCCGAGAGCCTGACAGGGCCCTGGCTGGATTTGAAAAGGAGAGACCCTGTCCCTCTAGGAGACCTGTTTAGGGCAGGCCAGAGTGTGCCTATCAGTGCTTGGCAGTTAGAGAGGGAGCCAGAGAACTGATGGAACCCCTTTCTCAGGTAGGGAGGCCAAACCTGAGCTCTCATTCTGGAAGATGCTAGAAGACCCCCAGTCTGAAGGGGTCTCCAATTCAAACTCACTCAGCTTGTCTGCCAGCCTCCTGAGAAGGAGTAGGGTTGGGTGGGCAAAGCTGGAGTCAAGCAGTCCTAGCCCTGGAGTGTGAGGCCAAATCCAGGGTCATCAGGACTCCAGGTAGGAAATACTGACAAATTTACTCTTTAACAAGAGACTTGCTGAGGCAATTAGCAGGTATAAGTCACATGTTCTAGATGAGAGCTCCTGGCATAGTCCTTCAGCCGGGGCTGGGGTTGAGAGAAGGAGATGCAATCCCTCAGCCACAGCCCAGGATTCAGACACCAACCCACCTAAATGTCCCTGCCCACAACACAAGCCAGACACAGGCTGGGAGAGGCAGCCAGAGCCCCCACTGCCAGGGAAGGTCCTTCTCCCAGGAGAAATCAGGGTGCTAGGTTTAGTGTAGACAATCTTTATTGGCAGGTGTTAAGAGTGCAAAATGGTGACAAATCCAGAGGGATGGGAAAGGAGGTGGGGGGCATGGTTCCCTTCCTCCAAGTGCAGACCCTGTAACCAGGCCAGTGGGGTGGGAGCACTTGACTGTGGCCATTCTGGGCCCAGCACCCTTTGAAGAACAAGCTTCTAGACAGAGGGATCCTCACAACACAGAGGAAGAGAGCAACAGTCCAGAAAGGGCATGGGCTGTGTCCCACCCCTGGCAGCTTGGCTCTTGCTCACCACAAACCTCGACAGCTTGGGGTAGGGGTGTTTGGAATCTGGGCTAAACTTATCCCTCTGCAAACCCAGGTAGCTGCCTCCTGCCTCAGTTTCCCTCCTCCCAGTGATTAATCAGGTTGGATCGCCAGGCCCTCTTAGGGGCCTGGCTCAATCCAAAGTGAGTAGTTTGTATAACATACCATATTTTAGCTATTGTGTGGGCTGTAGGTCTTCAGAGGCTGCTGGGATCACTATGGGCTGGCTTTACCCAAAAAGACCCTTTCTAGGCCACAGAAATCAGCCTAAGATGATGAGCATTGAGGCTATCACCCCAAACAGGTTTTGTCTCCTGAAGGCAATTGACCCCCAAGACAAAGAGCCCCCACACCCCATAGTTATGCTGCTCCAAAGTGGGGTGCAATAACCCAAAGGCCAATCAAGAACCTCAGCTTGGCCTTAAGCCCATGGGGGCCTCACTTGGGGATGAGTGGGGTCCAGTGTGTTCAGTCAAAGGCCCAACCTTGCAGCAGTGCTGGGCCACTCAGCACAGGCTGCCTGTTTCTGGTGGCATCCTCTGCACACTCCTGGAGGCCCCGCTCCATCAGCGTGGGCCCAGTACTTTCTGGCCAGGGTCTGAGTCAGTTACAAGGCAGCCAGGTGGGGTAGGAGTGGGCCCGAGCCAGCAGGGGCTGCACAGGAGTCACGTAGTAACTCACGGTGGTGGGAACAACCCCGTCGGGGCCCGAGGGGTGCCAGGCCAGGGCGGCTGCCGTGGCCGGGCCCTGCTCAGCCAGTGCCTGGAGCGCCAGGGTGGCGATGAGGTCCAGTGTCTGGCGACGCTCATGGCTCATGAGGCACACAGTGCTCTCATTGACCACGCGGTGTAGTGTCACCAGGCAGGCGTAGCGGCGGGCTGAGTCGGCCCCACTGAAGTGGGCCTCCAGGTAGCGCTCCAGTGTGCGCTGCTGCTCCACCAGGTCCGGGAAGTCGATGAAGAAGCGGGAGCACATGTAACGTTGCAGGGCGCGCACGTCGGTGCTGGGCCTTGGCCTGAAGCCCCGCACCAGGAGGTGGCAGTACTTGAGGAGGCCACCGCCACGAATCTCCTCGGGGCTGCGCGTGGCGATGACACGGTGCCGCAGGTGGTCCAGGGCCTCGGCAAAGTCCCCATACAAGCTCTCGCCTGTCACCGTTGGGTGGAAGGCCTCAGACATGGGGGTGGATGAGCACTGGCCAAACAGCAGCAGGGAGTCCAGGATGATCTGGAAGGAGTCTATACTGAACTCAAACTGGCGCCTGACCGAGTCCACGAACTTGAGCTCCACGTTCTTGCCACTCTTGTTGGACAGCGAGATGAGGCTCCAGCGGTCCGTGTCGGTACACACTTTCACTAGCTTCTGCACGTATGCCTCCTTGAGTGTCAGTGGAGTGATCTTGGCTCGGTTCACACCGGCCGGCAGGAAGTCCAGCAGGCAGGCCAGCACTACCTCCTTGATCAGCTGGAAAGACGCCTCCCCATGCAGGTCCACACGGAACACCAGGTCCAGGTCCTTGTAGCCCAGGCCACTCTCTGGGTGCAGCACATGGCTGGCAGCAGAGCCGTGTAACCGCACCCCATGCACTCGTAGTCCCTGCTCCTCCAGGCTGCTGCGGACCACCTGCCGGAGAGACAGCAGGAGAGAGAGGGGTCAGGATCCTGGGCCCCCCGGGCTACTACGGGATTCCGTGTAATAAGCACACCAACATTAACCGCGTTGACCGCTTATCAGCTGTCATGCCTTTAGAAAGTCTTTTGACCCTCTACAGCTTCGATTTCCTAACCTGGAGAATGGCTCATTTGGAGGAAAGACTCCAAAAGAACAGCACTAATGATAGCAAACACATATGTAGAATTTACTAAATGTCAGGTCCTGTCTAAGCACTTTATACGTTAGGATATAAACTTGTATAATTCTCACAATTAGTACCTACCTCAAAGGGTAGGTACTATTATTCCCATTTTACAGATGGAGAAATAGAAGCACAGAGAGGCCAAGTAACTTGCCCAAGGTCACATAGCCGGTGAATTAAACTCAGTTCAGGTCTTAACCACTAGGCTACTCTACATCTCTAAAGCTGCAAGTAAAACACTTCATTTTGTGCCAGGCATGATGCTAACTGCTCAAATGTGTTGGGAATGTAATTGAGATTCACATGCCTTACTACATTAACCTTCATAAAAATCCTGTATTTGAGAATTATTATCTCAATTTACAGATGGGGGACCAGAGGCACAGAGAGGTTAAGAAACACGTCCAAGGTCAGAGAGTAGCCAGGCTGAGCCTGGAGCTCAGGTCAGTTGGATTCTCCAGCCCTTGCATGCTCTTTTGACTATGATATATTCATCTTAACTCATCTTTCCAAGGACTCTGTGAAGCAAACACAGCACTTGTTTTAGAGCCGAGGAACCTGAGGTTTGCAGTGGTGAGACCTCTAAGGTTCGAGTGGGGAGGATATTCGGAAGTGGCGAGGCTGGGGGTGAAAACCCAGACCTTTTCTGCTCTTGGGATGATCATCTCAGGAGGCGTTCAGCGCCCAGCCCAAGTGGGAAGAGATGCAGCAGACCTTGTCTGCTGACACAGGAACGTGACCGGCAAACCTACCAGGCATCTGGAGTCTGTTTCTTTGGCCAGAGGCATCTCTCTGGGCCTAGGACCATGTGGGGAGAAGGAGCTGGGCCTGGACATTCAGTTTTCTCAGTAACCCAGGGTGCTTCACGCACAGTCCTGAAAGTGACCAAGCAGCATTCCTGCCCTGAGTGATTCTGCAACCCCGCCTTGCTGCCAAGTCAGCGCGCACCACTGGGCTGGGCTGCCCTCCTTGCTTCTCAGGAATTACTGCGAAGAATGCACTTAAGTGCTGAGGAGGCAAGCCGCAGTGGGGCAATCTGAGGCGGGCGGCTCCCTCCAGGAAGGCTTCCGGGAGGAGGATCCCGACTAGGGGAAGGTATTGTGATGGCTACGGGGGTCAGCAACTGGCCATCAGGAACATGCTGAGGAGGAGCTGTGGGGATGGGGGGTGGGAAAGGAATACCAGTTAGCCACCTATTGAATACCTGGACCTTCTCACCACAATCTATGGGGGATAGAACTTTTTTTTTTTAATACCTCGTTTTAAAGATTTTCTTTTTAAGTAATGCCTACACCCCACATGGGGCTCAAACTCACAACCCTGAGATCAAGAGTTACATGCTCCACTGACTGAGCCAGCCGGTGCCCCTATTGGGGACAGCTCTTTATGATCTCCGAGTTATAGATGGGGAAACCAAGACTCACAGGAGCATAGTCATCTGCCCAAGATCATGTAGAGGTGCCTTCAAATCCAGGTGGGGCAGACTCTCCTTCCATCACATTGCCATCCCAGGGTTTAGAAGGAGTAGAGACCAGAAACTAGGGTTCTAATCCTCCCTCACTTTCAAAATTTCAAAGAGGTGACCCTCCAGTCACTGCAGCCCAGAGGCAAGGCAGTTAGGAAAGGGAGATGCCTTGGCCAGACAGGCTGGAGAAGCTGGAGGTCAGGGGCCAGTTGCCACAGTCCGGCCTGTGGGACTTGTAACCCACACTCGAGGGCAGCTGGCAGCTGCGCCCATGCAGGCCAAAGAGAGCAGACCAGCCCCCTCCCCGGGTCCCAGTAGAGCTGACTGAGCCTTACTCAATGCCAGCTCCTGCTCCCAGGCTGATGCTCACCCCAGGGCATGGCATCTGGCCTGGTGAGTAGGTAGCAGTATCCTCGTTAAATCGCCTACGTCAGGCCATGGGGCCGGCTGTGTCAGCCAGCCTGCAGCTGGTGTCTCCCTCCCAGGTGTGACTACAGCCAGCTTGGCAGGCGGACCCCAGATACCGCCACCACTCCCAAAGACTGCAGGGCAGCTTGGAGCCTCCTGAATCAGACTTTCTAGCCATGGAGAGGGCCATGGCTGCACCCTCCTTTCCCCTGTGCCAAGGGCCTCCCCAGAAACTCTGTTCCTGGGTCATTGCCAAAACCTGCAGGGGGCTATAGGTGCTGTCCACCAGCAGGCTTACAAAACTCAAATCTGGAGCTGTCTGATGCAGGCCCTCTGGCTGCAGCTAGAGAGATCTGAATGTCTAATTCAATTCCCTGGGCCCATAGAGGGCAAAGGACTTATCCAAGGTCACACAGCCAAGAAGTGTGGCTGAGCTCAATTAGAACCAGGCATCCCAGAGCTGTAGGGGGCGGGGGGGGGGGGGGTCCAACACGATGACTCCTATACAGGAGAATGAATCCCTCTAGCTCAGGTATATGCAAGAATAGCATCTCTAGCTGCTCAGATTGCTGCTGTAGGTTAGGTCTTGTGGGGAGACAGAGGGAGAAAGGTTCTAATTCTTGAATCATGGACAACCAGTCTCCCCCACTACACATACCTAACATCCCTCCCTTTATCACCAGCACCCCCACCTCCACACATAGCCAGCATGATGACCCTCATCCCCATATACACCAAGCACCACTGTCCATGCCCCAGGCACAGCCAGGACCACCTCTGCCCCACCACACACACACACAACACAGTTTGTGAAGCTGCCAGCTGTAGATTTCCACCCGCAGATGGACTTTCTTCCCTGTGGGTGCAAGTGTATAGGCCAGATGAAGGTACCTGTTCTGTTTGGATCTTGGAACCTGAAAGGGTGTGCCAGAGTAGTCAACTCATCAGTGTTGACCAGATGGGGACACTGGGCCCAGCAAAGGGAACGGAGAATAGTCCAGGCCCTGAAGCCAGATGTCCAACCTCCCAGGCCAGCTCTGAAGCCTCCCCTGCCTCTCCCCACCACAGCCAGCAGCTCCCTGCTCTGGGACATCTTTGACCGTAGTCCAGGAGAACACTGTTCTCAAGGGAGGACCTTGAGGGCAGAGAGGTGGGGTCCCAGGCACATCTGTAGCTCTGGTGTCCTGAATAGGGCTTGACACAGAGTGGACACCAGTAAAGGCAGTTTGGCAGGGACTTCCTCTCCAGAGCACCCTTTGTCCCTGCAGAGGGGAGTTTCCACACTGGACTCCTCCTTCCCCTGTGTCTGGGACAGCATCCTGGAGATACAGCAGCTGGGGCCCCAAGGTTGACCTGAGTGTCCTGGGGAGAAAAGCTTCAACTGGTTTCCTAATTACCCCATGACAGCAGGGCAGCTACTGAGGAATGCCTCAGTGAGCACCACTGGGGCTGCAGGTGAGTCAGCCCTGGGGAATCTGCCCCCACCCCCTCCCATTCCCTGGGAGGGAGGGCGAGGTAATCCCCTAGCAGGCACCCTTCCTCCTCAATGGAGGCTGAGATGGTAGGAGGCAGGGGAATGGCCTGCTTCACTTCTGTGGACAACTCCCAAGAAAGAAAGTCCATCTACTGGCAGGAATACACAGGAATTGTGGCTGGATTTTCTGGTTTCTATCAGAAGACTTTCCTAAGACTTAGAAGTTGAGCCTTAGAAGGAACTAGGGATGGGGTAGGAAACACTGAACCTGCCAGCAGGTGGCTCCCAGGAAGACCCATGATTCTTTAGGTTTGATTTTCACCTCTTTAGGTAATCTTAGGCAGCTCTCTGCCCCTTTTGGAACCTCAGCTTCCCCAGCCAGAAAATGGATACAATTACCATATTATGGCATTTCAGAGTATGACAGCACCTAGGTTATACAGATCAAAGAGCAATTTTAGGGGTGCTAAAAGTTAGGTAAATGGGAAAAGGAGTCCAAAAAAGGGGAGAGGGCTATCAGAATTCTCTTTTCCTGCTCTTCAGGAGGCACTAGGGCCAGCCTTCATTTCCAATTTTGGGGAAGGAGAGAACCACCTAAACTGGACACCTCCAGCAGGCAGGCACCAGATCTGGCTTGGTGCTTAGTTAATCCCCTCCTGCCACAACTCGAGCTGAGAGGGAGTCCTTATTGGAATTTCTTGGCTTTTGGGAAGCCTGGGTGGCTCAGTGGTTGAGCGTCTGCCTTTGGCTCAGGGCATGATCCGGGAGGCCCGGAATCGAGTCCCGCATCGGGCTCCCTGCATGGAACCTGCTTCTCCCTCTGCCTATGTCTCTGCCTCTTTCTCTGTGTCTCTCATGAATAAATAAAATCTAAAAAAAAAAAAAAAAAAAAAAAGGAATTTCTTGGCTTTTCCACTTAGCTACGGAGCTCTTGAGCCAAGGGCTGTGGGAGCACAGGACAAAGTCTGCCCCTAGGACCTTGAGAGAGGGAATGGGTGTGTGTGTGGGTGGGTGAAGCCCAACTATGAAGATTTGGAGATGAAAAAAAAAAAAAAAACACCCAACAACTATTTTAACCCAAGCACGCACACCTACCCATCCAGGGCTCCCTGGTATCTTATTTCTTAGCAGGCAGGGCTGTTCTCTCGCCGCCGCCGCCACCCACCCCACCCCCAGCACAGCCAAGTCCCTCCCCACTCTCCTCCCATTTCCTAGCTAGGGCCAGGGTGAATGGTTCCAGAGGAATCGGGCTCTCCAGAGGCGGGGGAAGGGAAAGCTAAGTGGGGAGGGCGCATGTTCTGCTATCCATGCTCGGGGAGATCGTTACAATCCCTGTCCCTCTCTAAGCCTCATTTTCCCTAGCAGTCCAGAGAACAGGACAGACTCTGGGTGCCTCCCGGCACGAGAACCTCAGGTCGGAGATAGGATAGCCCGCGCCCAGGGCCCTCTCACCTGCACAATCTGCCGGGGCTGCACGCTCAGAGTGGGGAAGTTGCCGCGCCCGTGAATGGGAATGGGTTCGCTCAGGAGCGCGTCCAGTCGCTTCACCTGTGGCCAGCCCAGCCCACTCAGGTGCCGTCCGAGGGAGGCCGAGGAGGCCTCCGGGTCGGGGCCGCCGCCTGCCGGGGCGGCCGTGGCCACCGCCGAGGCCGCAGCCGTCCCCACCTGCGCGGCTGCCTGGTCCCGGCTCTCAGCTCCACTCTCCGACGGCATCATTAGCCCAGCCCCGGGGCCCCGACGGCAGAAACCGGGGGTGGGGGGGGTGACCAAGGGGAGACGGGCGGGGAGAGCGCCTGGGCCAAGGCGAGGGGCGTGGCTGCAGGGGCCGGGTGGCAGCGACGGCGAGGCAAACTCGGGGCACACCTCCGACGGCGACGACCAACCGACCCTAGAGCCCGTAGCCAGGGGCCCAGCGGACTCTTATAGGCCGCGGGCGACATGCCCATTGGTCCAGACAGCTGTCACACAGCGGGAGCGCCCCGCCTCCCGGCGGCCCTGCCATTGGTCAGCGGAGCTTTGCACGTGAGTCACTAGTGGCCAGGGAGATTCCGATTGGCTGGATGGCACGCCCCTGCCCCGCCCTCCTGCTCCGGCTGAATTCCCTCCTTTGGTCCTTAAAGAACTTCGGTTCTGCGTGATTGGCCCGGGCTGCGGCCGACCTAGACTTAAAGGGACGGCGCCCTCCAGGGGCAGGAGGGAGGGAGGTGACCTGGGGAGTTCGTAGCGGAATTGGGCCACGAAGAAGTTCCAGGGTTCTTTCTGGCGCTGGAAGGAATTTAGAAATCGCCTGGCCTGGTCCTGGTCACCTGTTCTTTCCAGAAGCCCAGAGAGACCACGCTGCTCGTTCAGCTCCACACGGCGCTCCTCCCGCTTTCAGTGTGGCGGGAAAGATAACAAACTGTCTGCCGAGGTCGAGGCTATTTAACGCGCTCCTGATTGGCCCTTGCCCACCACAGCCTGGCCTGCGTCTACGTTCCTACTGAGGGGAGGGCAGACCTGTTCAGAGAGGGGGCGTGACTCCCTCAGGTTACACAGCAGACGAGTCGGGGCCCGAACCTGGGCTCTAGAATCTGCGGCGCATGCTCTTTCCGTTACATTTGTGCAGACGCAGGGCCTTTAAAGGGCTGGAGGATCGAGGGCAGCTGGAAATAGGGAGCTGGTTTTCCTGACCCAGCGTCCTGGGCTCCTCGGCAACCCCTTCTGGTGGGGGTTTCCTGAGCAGCTGGTGGAAGTCTTTCCTGCCAGCTTTTTCTCAGCCTTATCAGGTCCTGTGTGCCCCCAGGCAAGTCACTCACCGCTCTGAGCCAGTTTCCTTTTCTGTCCCAGAGAAGATGTTCAATAAATATTTTAAAATTTTTGATTTGATTATTCATAGTTGGCGAAAACGTTTTCCAATGTTCTATTGAAATGATATGTTTACATGTTTTTCTTTCCCACTTTACAGAGTCTAGAGGGATGCGGCTCAGTGTTACTTTTGAATTCACTTTTTCTTCTGATTTTAATTTTTTTTAAATTTTTATTTATGATAGTCACACACACACACAGAGAGGCAGAGACATAGGCAGAGGGAGAAGCAGGTTCCATGCACCGGGAGCCCGACGTGGGATTCGATCCCGGGTCTCCAGGATCGCGCCCTGGGCCAAAGGCAAGCCCCAAGGGATCCCTCTTCTGATTTTAAATATGTGTACCTGGGGCAGAATTTCAGAAATTGAGTCTGCTTGATGTATCACTACAATATTTTCTTTTAGATTATTATTATTTTTTATCCATCTTTATTTATTATTTTTTATTATTTTTAAAGATTTTACTTATTTATTCACAAGAGATACACAGAGAGAGAGAGGCAGAGACACAGGCAGAGGGAGAAGCAGGCTCCATGCAAGGATCCCGACGTGGGACTCGATCCCGGGACTCCAGGATCACGCCCTGGGCCAAAGGCAGGCGCTAAACCGCTGAGCCACCCAGGGATCCCCTCTTTTAGATTAAATATCATTCTTCTAACACTGTCCCGTTCTGTAAGGCAGGCGGAGTGAGGAGTGAGATTCCCAATGTACAGAAGAGGAAACCGGGACCTACACACGGTAAACCACATTCCAGGGTCACCAGCTTGTCTCCGACAGATCTGGACGTAGAACCCTGACCCTCAGACTAGAGCAATCACGTCCTCTTTCTGAAGGCCAGCCCCAGCAAGATCCTGCCTATGGCCCCTCCCTCCATTCCGTCTGGGATCGGGGGCTTCCTTTGGCCCCCGGGGAAGGGGACCTGCTGCTTGCTCCCCAGCTCGGCTGTATGACTATGGGCAAGTCTCAGGTGCTGTTCTCACTGAAGTTGCTTGCTATTTTGTTTTACGTTCTTTTGAAAGAGAAAACGTACATGAGAAGCCTCTTTTGCTGAGCCAAGAGTCTCCAAACCCTTGCCCTACCACCCCCATGCCCCAGCAGGGGAAGTAAAAGAAAGGAAACTAACATTTACCGAGGACCTACTAGGTACCAAGTCACTTTACATACACGACCTCTAATTTCTAAAAATACGCCTCAAGATGTGGGATCATTATCCTCAATTTACAGATGAAGAAACCAATGCTTAAGTCAAGTGACGTGGTCATACAACCACTAATTGGCAGGGTGGGACTTGAATCCAAGTCTCCTGACTCCAGAGCCCTATTTTCCAATTGCTCCTTGTGGAAGAGTTGGCACGGATCACAGTATTGTGCTTGGCACAGCCTTGGTACCACCCTCAAGATGTATCCATTCATTCATTCATCAACCAACACATATATACTAAGCACCCAGTAGGTGCTGGGCTAGGCCCTGTGATGTGATAGGCAAGGTCCCTGCCCTAGAACTGACATTCTGGTATAGAAAGATAATACTTAAGTAAAGAAATAAATAAGACATTTTAGAGAGTGCTAAGAAGAAAATAAAACAGGGTACGGGAGAGAGAGAGAGAACTGAAGAGACTGATGTCCTTTGTTGTTGTGATCACAGATTCTGCCCAAGGAGGTTACATTTCTACTGCAGCTGCTGAATCCGCTTCTACCTATCTCCCTGTGCTTGTCCCCAGATAGCCAGGGCAGCAGAGAAGGTGCCAGCCACACATCCCTACAACCCTGAAGCCCTGAGCTGGGGGGAATGGGGAGGAGGTTTTTGACAATCCTTTTGTTCACTCTCTTCCCACTTTATATATAAGTAAACTGGGGTCCAGGAAGCCAGAGGGAATTTGCCCAGGGAGACTGGCTAGGGCTGGAACTACACAGGGGTAGGCGCCCCTGGGGGCTGGCCTGGTGCTGTGCCCACTCTGCAGGCTTGAATCAAGTTCTCTAAGAAAGGAAACTTAGAGATCTCTTTTCCTGTCACCTTCCTGCTGCCTGGGCTAGGAAGAGCAATTAGCAAATTCATGCGCTGTGAATCACCCTTCTGTTGACACTTCTATTCCAAAGCTAATCGGTCCAATCTTTGCTGGATCATAGTACCTGAACATCACTGCCCTGAGAGTGTGGGTGATCTGGGAATGTAGGAAGAGGAGAGGGAAGGCGAGAGAGCAGGTGTATACTCCGGAGGGTTTTCACCTTCACCAAGACCAACTTATAAATGTCCTAGTGAGAGCACCTGGGCGGCTCAGTCGGTTAAGCGTCTGCCTTTGGCTCAGGTTATGATCCCAGGGTCCTGGGATCGAGCCCCACGTTGGGCTCTCTGCTCCACAAGGAACCTGCTTCTCCCTCTCCCTCTGCCACTTCCCGTTTGTGCTCTGTCTGTCAAAAAATTGTCCTAGTGAACGGAGGGACTCAATGACTGGGGTACCTTCCGAAGAGTTCATCTGGCTTTCAAATGTTATATATGAGCCTTTTCCCTCCCATACATACTTCCCATCCCAATCCTGACTCTGATTTTAGGGGGAAACGTACTCTCTGTGATAACTGATTTGTAGTGACATAGGTAAGTCACTTTCCCTTTCTGGGCCTCAGTTTCCTATTCTGTAAAATGGCAGCAAAGTAGGAGTCAGGTTTTTCCACTCACCTGTGATTTGAAGTGATGGGAAGGAGAAGGGGTCCTGCGGGGAGTGCTGGCCTCCACACTGGTCCCTCCTCTGCTCTGGGACCGCAGACAAGAGCATTCTGGGATCTGCCCACATGACTGAGCACTCTGTGCCTGGAACCACACGAGGCAACTTCCGTAGTTTCCTATTCAATTTTCAGAACACAATCTTTTTTACTTTTTAAGATTTTATTTCTTTATTTAGAGAGAGAGCGAGTGTGGGCAGGGGGAAGGTCAGAGGAGAGAGAGAATCTCCAGCAGACTCCCATGCTGAGCACAGAGCTGACCTGGGGCTTGATCTCACAACCCTGAGATCATGATTTGAGCTGATATCAAGAGTTAGATGTTTAACCGGCTGAGCCACACAGGCACTCCCAGAACACACAAATTTTGACAGAGGAGTGCTCTCTCACTTTATGTGAGAGGAAATTAAGGCTCAGAGAAACCAGTTAATCTGTGCAGGGCCCCACAACTGGAAGGACGGGCTTCACACCCAGGTCTGGCTGAGCCCAAGGCCCATGCCCTACCCAGGGCCCTGCTCTGAGGATGGCTTGGTTTGTTCCGTTGCACAGAGATGGTCCTCCCCTCTGGGACAGAATCACCTGTCCTCTCATCTACAGTTCTTGTCCTCCACCGTGCCTCAGCCTCTCACGGCCGAGGTACTTTTCTCGACCTTGCCAGTGCCCCGTAAACTTTCAATAGCAAGTGTCCCATCCTCCTAACACCACCTCCTGTCTTTCTTGCTCACTACCTCTAGAACCCTGGCTGCACTGGGTCCTGACTCCCTAGACCCTTCAATCTATTGATCCTCCCACCTTTCCCCCCACTGTTTCTTGCCTCCTTAACCAGCTTTGATCCCATGGACCATCATTATAATTACTTCCTTGCATACACCCTCACCCCCCTTGCTCCATGTTAAACTGCACTCATCTGGCAAAACCACACCCTGGTTAATCCAGCTATGGGTTTGTACCCTACAGTTGACTGAAGCTGGAGAAAGACACACGGCCCTGCTGACAGGTCGCACTCATCTGGTCATGGCCTCCATCCTCTCTAGGGGGCCCTTAGCACCAGCTGGCAGGCCTACCATGTGACCTGGTGTTTTCGTTCCCCTGTGGTCCTAGAAACAATTCCATACCTCTCCTTCTCCCTAGAGACAATTTCTTTTTTTTTATTTTTTATTTATGATAGTCAGAGAGAGAGAGAGAGAGAGAGAGAGAGAGAGAGGAGGCAGAGACACAGGCAGAGGGAGAAGCAGGCTCCATGTACCGGGAGCCCGACGTGGGATTCGATCCCGGGTCTCCAGGATCGCGCCCTGGGCCAAAGGCAGGCGCCAAACCGCTGCGCCACCCAGGG